GATATCGAACCCAAAATAGTCATTAATGAAGAAGATTCTATTAGCCATAAAATTGTATCTACAAAAGTCAAATAGATTCAAAAATATAGTTAACTCTATTCATTCAAGTTCAATGATACATACAATCTTTACCATCATGTAATTCTGTCGATAACATTGTTGTTACATCAATCAAAGCATACAATCCACTACTTAGATAAACAATCTATATACATAAAAAATAGTTGTATAATCTATATGAAATTTTCTTACAATAATTAGTAATGCGGTGTAAATAGATAAAGTCGACCATTTAATTTTGTTACAGATAGTATATTGATATGAACCAGGAAAACAAGAACATACCGAAGGATCGACAAAAGAATTAACACCAGATGTCATTATAAAATAAAATAGTAGAAGTGAAAAGAAGAGAATATGATTACATAGTTAAAATGTTTTCCTGTCTTTCGTTCGTTAATATTTCGTTGGCACATGTTAGTCTGACTTAAATCGGGGGGAAAAAAAACGAGGGAACGAAAGAAAGAATCAAACAAATAGATGGATAAATATTCGATGACTGTGTGTGTATTAGTTTTTCCTTATTGTTATTTAAATAGTATAAAATTGTTGTTACACGATAGATCTTCAAAAATTTATATAAATTAATTATATCTAAGTTTTAAAATATTAAACAAATATAAGAGGAATTCATTTAATTTTTTCCCTCATTTCTTTTTTGATGGTTTTAATCGTCATTATTCAGTGAATATTTACTAACGAATGTTGTTGTTCGATTTTTTTTTGTTCTTTGATGCAAGAAAATCTAGATGATATAAATAAATGTATGAATAGATACTTAACTTGATAGAAAAAAAAAATCTATAATTGTCAAGATAATCTGAGATTACAATTCTTTGATACAGTTAGGTTTCATCTAATGTACTATGTGATGAATGAATGTTTTCTTTAGTCAAAATTAAGATCTGTTGAAGCATCCTTTTTACATAAAAACAAATTTCAATTTTTAAATTTCAAGATTAAATAGTAAAATTTTCAATCATAATATAATTAATAACTCTTACTATTGAAATTAAAACTATATTTATAAAGATTTTAGTATGAATTTATTAATTTCTATACCATTGTTAATATCTGAATTTCTATGAATATGTTTGAGCCATTTATGTATATCAAATGTTGTGTAGAAATGATTATGGATGTGGGATAGGCGTATGCATGACGCAAGAATTCACACGTCCACATCCAGCTGGCTTGTTTCGAGACAGTAGTATAAATCATTACGTAACAGCGTGTATTGATTTAAAATGTCAGAAAAATCTTCCTATTCTTCAAAGGAGTACCTAATGATATTTTAAAGAATGAGTTGATGTACTTCGGGATAAACAAAAATGTAAAATCAAAGTCTATGATACAGTAACGATCAATAATGTATATTGCTAGTTTATTGTTATACATGAGTCCACTTCAGCATTTTTAAGTTGACACTTCTTTTCCTTTCAATTCTAAGTTGTTTCATGTTATTTTGAGCACTATATAGAGAACTTTTAGTTCTTTTATTTTAACTAATATCGATTAATATTATTTTCTCAATTCACTCCGCTCTCGATTCAGAAGACTGCTACTCTTCTTCTGCATACTATGTTTAAAGCAATACAACAATATGCTGAGCCAGTACTACCAAAGACAAGGACATTGTTGAACGAATTTAGTCGATGTCATCACTGCACTATGGATATAGAATCTTAAAATATAATATTTTTATTCCAAAGTTCAAACTCTACGTAGAAAGTCTCTACATAACTTCTTATTGATAGATTCTTTAGCTACTTTTACATATCTATTTAATTCCAATATTTACAAAGTTAAAATAATTCTGAAAAATCTTCGAGGATTTTCAGACATCATCGTCAGCTCTTACATTGATTAAGACTTTTATGTATGGACTACTACCGATCTGATAATGATGTCTCAAGCAATACGTTTTTTTTTACTTCTTTTAAATAGGCAAAAGAAAGTATAGGCATATTATTACTATAAAATAAAATCATGGGATTTAAAACATCAATTTTGATGTGTCAAATCGGTTGTCTTATAATGTTAACTTTCACTATTTTCGTGTGCTCTTATTCTCATCTATCTGAAACTATTTAAGTAGATAAGACAACGGATTTTGCTTATTAATTATATCTCTATTGAAAGTCAATGAATTCTATAAAGTTTTGATACTGTACAAGAATTAGAATAACATTTTTGAAACCTTTTTTATACATGAAAAAGTACTTTATCGATAATATTGATAATTAGACTTTATCTCATACTTATTTCTTTGACATGATACTTCAAGCTCTGTGCTTATGAGCGATGCATAGATCTTCTATAAAAAAAAATGCAAGGAAAGCAACGTATTGCTGGACATGATATATATTATTCTGATGTATCCTACATGATTTCGATCGATCGATTCATAGATCCGTTGTTTGTAATCACCACTCCAACTCATTTCACTATACAGTATCACTCATTGGACATTGGTGCTTACGCATTTTTCTGTTTTGTTTTCTCATCAATCATATAACGTGCTTTCCTTTTCGTTAAATACTATCATAGATTTGGATGAGCCTGTTTGTGTGATTAATTTATTCAAGTTTGTACTTTTTTATCAGAATAAATTATTACTTTTATCTTAATTAAATATTCAATAATTAAGTTTGATGCTATATAAGATTCTCCGTCGCTTGTAAATTATGAAGAATAATTAATAATAAAAACAAATCCATAATTTATTGACATATTGAATATTCGATTTATTATTGAAATTCTGTTTTATTTATTCTAGACAACCTAATGTAATCTTTCTATCTCTATCTGCATTTCAGTTAGAATATTGTAAATGAAAAAGTACTTTGATAATTATTCATATTCATAAGTTTTCATTTAAGTTTACATCAATCTAGGCATTCTTGGTGTCATATTCTCATAGGCAATGTTTTCATTTTTTTCGAAAGATAGGCACTGTTTTAGTCAGAAACATGTAGATAATAGCATACAACATCAGAAAGGACCGAACAACATATACGAGCTATCATTATATTTGGTCTTTTCTATTTGGATGCATTCTTTTTTCCACGATTGTTATCAAAACGTTTATCACATCTAAACAGATAAATGTACTTTGCTTAAAAAATAATGTAAGAACGTATCATTGAATACTTATCTCTAGTTCATTAAAGAGATAAATCTGAGTGGACGCTTATTTTCATGTTAATCTTGGCGGAAAAAAATATGCTTATGAAGTTGTGTAATAACTCACAAATACCTTAAAGCATCAATATGACATTCTAATCTAATCAAGATTATTTACTTTGAATTTTTGACAATTTTTGGAATCTTACATAAGTGTATTTCAGCTTCTTGTTATGACGATAATCTTAATAAATAGATATTGATTAGAGACAACTTCTTTACCATTTAGCTTGAAAAAGCCAATTCATATCCACTTTTTGTAAGACATTTACATTAAGTGTTCGAAGGGTATGGATGTAGGTGTTGATGACGAGAAGAGACCTACAGCCACACTTCTAGCCACCCATCATTGCCACATACTAAGGACGAAAATGAAAGGTTGGCAATAATCGGTGGAGTACTTCGTAAAAGAATGAGAAGTTCAATCGCATCAAAAATCAAATATTTGCTAGAGTGAAGAAGTACACTTTGAAGAAAACAAAGTTTTGCTCTAGAGAGAAGTTGCAATTTATAATGACATTGTAGAAAATGTTTTAAAAAACGGGCATATTTCATTCGTAAAACACTTGAATGCAATAGATGATGAAATATCGTTTGAAATGAGAAAATCACATAGACATTGTGGACATGTTCTATGAAGAGACATACTGATGTTAAAACTTTTATCTAAAAATGGTTTGAAGAAAAGATTTTGAATAAATTGAATAAATACAGAACTGTGATCTGTAAAAAGAGAGTAAAACATGAATAATGGTGATATGCATTTAACTATATATTATTCAATATGCTAAAGGGAAATGTTTGGATTTTAGTTTTAAAAAATTGTACATTATTCTGTACGTAAAAATAGGAAATATTTAATCAAGTTTATTACGAAGTTTTCAATTTATTGTATTGTTTGATGTATTTATGATTATTTACTTAACGGCATTCTTGTCATCAATTTTTCATATTTTATTTGTTTTTATATTTGAGATTAAAATACACACAGGTATTGTTTGAAAGTTATATTATTAAATTATGAAAATAGAAATGAGAAAAACATCTAAAAATACAAAGTACGAAAACTTTATGTACAATGTAATAGAAATAATTAAACAAAAAATACTGATGCTAAAGTATCAATAGATTTCATTTGTTTTTACGAATCTTATAACGTCTTTCTCAAAAAGACTGGACATGCAAATGAGTATTCATATAAGTTTTTTATTATATATTTCGTTTTGAATTAATTTAATGAAAAAACAAAACGCAAAAATCTATTTGGGAATAAGTTCTATTATTTTTAACACAATCACGAAGTTAATTAATATGGCATTCATTTTTATTTAGCTGCTACTAATTGTTCACTTAGTTTCCATAAACGTTCAGCTGATTCCACATCAATTGCATGTACTCCTAAACTCCAAAACGTTTTCATATCTCGATTTACTCCCTGACTTATTGCACAATTTTTCAGGTACTCTTCACCATGATTATCAAGCTCAGATGCTAAAGCATCATAGACACTTGTTGATGCACATTGTTCGACATTTTAAAATCTATCCACAGGAGTACCATCTTCTTTAAACCATTCCATTGCTAGTTGTTCTTCAATTGGTAAATATCTAGCTAAATTTGTCGTAAGTCCACCTGGATGTAAAGCATATTCTCGGATACCTTCTCACGAATATAATTTATTGAATTGTTTAACAAAGAGAATATTTGCTATTTTACTCTGACCGTAAGCAAGCCATTTGTCATAAATTTTTTTCTCAATTAATATCTTCCCAATTAATACCACAACGTCTGTTTGCAAGTGAACTAACGATAACAACATGTGATGGTGTACCTACTTTAACTTTAGGTATAAGACGTGTAGCAAGAAGAAAATGACTTAAATGATTAACACGAAATTGAGTTTCAAAACCGTTAACTATTTTTCCATATGGACATATTATAACACCGCCATTGTCTATAGTTAATAGAATGATAGAAATATATGTTAGATCAATAACTGAATGTTCTACTAATAAATAAGAATATTAATTAGTAAATTACGTTGTCAAAATCGATCAACAAAATCTCTAACTGATTGAAGTGAACTTAGAACAAGTTTCATCACTTCGATTTTATCATTGCTAGTTGTTTTTTTAAGATCTTCTACAACTTCTACACTTTTATTCATATCTCGTGCTTTAATAGCCACATGTGCATTTACTGTTGCTAATGCACGAGCTGTTTCAATTGCGATACCTTAAATAATAAATGTGTTTTTAGTAAGTCTAATATGATTGAATGTATTTACCTCATGTACAATCAGTAATGAGAACAAGTTTTCCATCAATATTTGCATTAAAACCTTTCACTACTTGAAGCGTAGTCGATTTAGCATGAAAAGTTGGTGTAATCATTGTGCAATGTATGTTCGTGATGCTTTTATGAGCCTTTTTCTCACATGTTGTTGATAGTACCTTGAAAGAAACTTATCATTTCTATACTTTTTCTATCTCTTTCTTTTCATTCTTTGTTTATTTGTATTGACCATATTACAGGTAAGAAATAGGTATTGATTAGAGCCCATCAAGTTTAACATTTTTAAATCCGAACTCAACCAAGTTTGGGTCTGAGACTAATTCGACGGGCTCTACTCTTGATATTATTGTTTGAAACGTACTTACTAACTTTAATTGATGTTTATTCATCTCTTTAGAAAAATATTATTTTCTTTTTTTACATTAACAACAATGTGACTATTACGTTTAACATTAAAATTATTTACTTGCTTAATACCTAGGTGAATTCAACCTTAGAAAAAAGACTTATTTACACGATATAAATCAATATCAAAAGGAAAATCAGGTTCAAAAGTTTCTCTGCATATATATACAGATACGTCTCAAATATAACAGATCAATAGAAAGATAAAAACATTTCTCATGGTTCTAATTGGTATAAAAACTATTTTCATTGTAGATACACATCTGTAATCATTCTCCATGTCAGAGAATTCATAAAAACATTTTCCATTAGTAGTTTCTCAGAAAAAGAATTCTTAGGAACCTTGTAGATACTATATATAGTATGAAAAACTGTTTTTGCCTATGCACTGGTTGGCATACAAATACCTCAATGCTCTGCACATGTCCATATGTTGAATAACATAAGTTAAAAAAATCGCTACATATTGTCATGCGATTATTCGTATGTAACGTGATATTCATTATCGGATTGAAAATATGTTAGTTCGGGTTCGAAGTGATAATGCAGAACTATCTGTACTTGATCAATGACTTGTTGATTATGAATCACAAATAGCAGCACAGGAAATACAAACAAAAGAATTTGAACGTTGTGATATCGTTAAGAAATTAAAATATGTGCTTGAACATAAAGAAAACGGTGTTATTGCTGTTCGAGAACCTGACATACTCTCAATATTACAGAATAGACATTCAAAACATCAACTATTTGTATTATATGCCAATAATGAACTTGGAAACAGTTCGAGAGATAAATTGATAATAACTTTGAATTTTTTCATCGAATTGAAGCAAACGTAACGTTAGGTAGTCGATTGATATCCTGCTATTTTGATTACGATTTACATCCTAATTTTTGACCTCAACAAAAAAAAAACTTGAAGTGCGAGAATATGTAGTACTCCGATTACTATCCTAAGATCTCATGTTAAACCAGAAATAGTTCTTCAATAAGCTAGTGTCCATAGGCTCGATTGATTAGTAAGATAAATATATCCCAGACTTTTCGATACGTTAAATATTTAAACAACTATTGATTAGAAGATATAAGCTATCTACACTCGCAGATTTATTTTGAACAAACTATTCAATGATTAAGAATTCCAAAATAAAATGCAGTTTCTAGTAAAATGGATTTTCTCTTCCTTTGCAAATAATCCATTAATAGAAAATTTTTAAAACGAACAAAGTTTTTAACGTTTTTTTATGAAACGGAACTCTCAGTAGAATCATTATTTTGTCTTAAATCGATGAAAATATGTAGTTATAAAGAATTTTTAGTGAAAATAACTTTCGTTGTGCAACATTTTCTTCGGAATTTTCTCATTGTCAAATGTGTTGGTTTAAAATCATACACATTTATGTTATATTTTAGTTCAAAAATGTTAATACTGCTACCGATTCAGTAAATCAATGGCATTGAGATGATAAAGCTCGTCTCGACGAAATGTTTGTTAAATCTGGTAGTCGTATATTATTACTCCATACTCCGCCATTAGCATCACGAAATGAAATTTCCGAAAAAATGACGTCACAATCAAAAACAAATACTTTATTAATTGGTCGGTCACGTATAGAAAAATCAACATTTAAAACATATTTTAGCTGATCCAACTCAAACTTCTGGTTCATTCAAATCATCTTCTCAAACAGAATTTCCTTTATTGGAACAATATTCTGTTCCTAGAACAGATATTATCCTAAACATTATTGATACATCAGATTTATTTCAACAAACAAAAACTTCATCACCATTCCCAGATATTGCAACAATTATGCAACTAATCGATAGTTATATTCGTTTGAAAGTAACACAACTTCATTTTGTTTGTTCTTGTATACTATTGGAAACAAAAGTTAATATATATGATTTACATACAGTTCATAAATTATTATAACAAAATGTGAATCAAAAAGTGAACAAAAATTAGAAGTCATATATATAAAGAAACACTAACTAATCTTAATTTTAAAGTTATTTCATCACAAATGAAACAAGAAATATTTTTTTTTTGATCACTTAATCAAGAAGATTGAATTGATATATTAAATTCAATATATGAATAATTTAGAAATACTTGTGAATATCAAAATAAACTATTTCATCTTTTTATTGATGTTGACGTAAAATCCTTTGATCTGACGTCGAATGTGATTGCTAGAAAGATTAGAGATGAAATTGATTCAAGAAAAACTGGAACACTTAAATGAAGATGTATAAACCGATCTTATTAGTTTTTTTTTTTGTGATTATTGATATTATTTATTCTAAATCATTAAAAATTAAATTCTCTTTTTCACATCAACTGCTATTCTATTGACTTGATATTTCACTCATTAACATCAACGAAATAAAGTTCTCGACACACGAGAAGACCCCTCTGAAAATTGATATTTTAAAAATTATATCTGTAAATTTTGGCTTTTTTTCTGAAGTATTTACATAAGTTCATAATAATATCTAAGTTCACTATAGGCAATATTTTGCTTCCATCATTCATGGTGACGTGTCAGTTCCGAGTTATAAAAACCTTGAGAAATAGCTAATAGGGAAAAATAGTCTAGTGGAAAATGCGTTTCTTTATTGAAAACATATCGTGGAGTCACATGAGAGCTCTTTTGTATCATACCCTGAATAATTTCTTGAGATTCTCTATACGAAAAAAAAACGTTCCCATGGTTACAGAACCTAATTTACACAATGTAAATTCGCATGGATCATACATGAAGAAATCTTTCTAAAATAGGAACATATTTGATAAAATCCCGTTGGCTATTAATAAAAAAGTCTCATCACCTTTGCATATTCTTCTAGAAACTCAAAAATGCTTTATCAGAAAACAGCGCATTCATAGTTGAGGAAAATATACATTCAGATATATATGTCGAGGTTTGTTCTATGAAGTACTTCTTATGAGTATCGAAACAGACACGCAAAAAAACACTGAATGTGTATTACACTGCTGTTTTTCTATAAACTGCTCTTCATAAATAACCGTATTCATTCAAGTTAGCTTGAGACTAATAATTATGCTAGTGGTACATCTCATTGTGAACAAATTCCATCTATACTATTCGAACCTCAATATAAGCAACTGATTTAAATAAGTCTGACAAAAAAAAACTCAGTTTCTCTTCAAAAAAAAGTGCTGTTCGACATTGTACTAAAGTGTTAGGAGATGTTGACAGAATTGTTCTAAGAGCACTCTTCTTACGAACAATTTTCTCCATTTCCTTCACAGAATATTGTCTGTTTCTTTCGCATTCTACGCATGTGGGATAGGTGAAATAAACTTGTTTACTAACAATATAATAGGCAAAAAATGAATTGAAACTAAAAATTATTGGCGATACTACCAAAAAAATAATATAGCTTTTTTGCGATACTTAATAAAAGATACTGAATCTTTTAATATATCGAAAACTTTAGCTCTGCTCAACTGATAGATGGCGCACTATTAAAGTAATAAGGTGCAATTGCTTCCCCTGATATCTTCCTATTCTGATGTTTACTATGGGACGACTGATACACAGTGGTAGAAATCTATTTTATTCTATTTGTATTGCTATACTTTTTTGACTGCCGTAAGTGCTAGAAAGATTCCAAATAGTGATTCGAATAGAGAAAATGGTTTCCAAAAATAGAAACTTCACGAAACTAAAAAGCTGGGTGTTTTAGCACCTAGAACGCATAAGTGTAATTTTCTTTAGACTACGTAGAACGCTAGAGTAAATTATTTTCTACAAAATGCGACGTCTCCGAGTTCTCTGCAACGCTTTTTGACTGAGATACAGTAATTTGAGTGAAAGTCAAAAAATGACTTTTCTATAGGAGATAGTAAAAAAACGATTTTAGGAACTTCCGTAAGATTGCTGTATCTCACCTAAAAAACATTGCAGAGAACTCTAAAACGTCTCATATTGTAGAGAACAATTTATTCTAGCGTTCTATGTAGTCTAAACAAAATTATGTTTACGTATTTTAGATATTGAAAAACTAGCTTTTTACTTTTCTGGAGTCTCTATCTTTGAAAACCAGATAATAATTTTTGCTGCCTTATATTCCTGTTGGAAACAATATTCTCTATTTGAATTACTATTTGCATTCTTTCTAATGTTCATAACAACAGAACATATTGAAAACAAACCTTGTGGAATAATTTTGGTACTCACTATATATTAGACACCGGTCCTTATTACAGAAGTTGAAGGGCGTTTAATCAATATGATATGATTGAAGAAGCATAACGACCACTCTTCTTCTCTCTTTTTTTCGTCCACAACAGAAAGAAGATACTTTTCGGCCTTCTCTGTTTTATGTTCTTTTAAATCTTTTTACAATTTTGTGATTAGCTTTTAATTTTTTAACTAAATGTGAGATTAAAAGTATAGTTTCTTATTATTTCACAAAAAATACATTACAAACTCCGCTACAAAAAAAGAATGCAAAACATATAACAGTACAGCTATTGAAAATACAAATAAGACAATTATATTGGGTAGAACTAATAATGCAACATCGATGTTACTATCTTAAGGATGTGGATGTAGATGTTAATCTTCTCTGCACTCAACCACACTCTAACAGGTTTAGAGAAACAATTCATTTTATCTTTAGTTTATATTGAACATATGTATTAAAAAAAACAATA